GAGACCCATGCCAGACTTCTGACCTATGTAGCTATAAAATAATAAATCTGTGGTGTTGTAAGCCACTAACTTTGTGTTGCAATTTGTTATGGCAGTGATAAAAAAACTAATATAAAACCAGTCAAGATTTCTATGCTTGTGGGATCACATTCTCACAGGGAGAGGCAGTCAATAACAGTATGTATAATAAGTAAATTATATAGTATGTTAGAAGGTAATAAATGGTATGAAAAATTAAAAAACAGAACAGTAAAAGAGAATGAGAGTACAATTTTAAATAGAGAAGTTAGGGTGGGCCATACTGAAAAAGGAACATTTGAACAAAGTGGGGGTTAGCAGGATAGATTTATCAGTTCAAGTAAAATTTAGCAGTATTTTATTAAATAAAACAATCGGTTACCCAATTTGTTTAAAACCGTAGTATTAGAATTTAAAGTAAGATATGTACTTTTTCTAGATTTATCTAACATAGAAAAAATGGTTGTTTGTTTTAGCGGCTAAGCATTGTATTTGAAAAATTATCTTTTCCTATTCTCATTATTAGTCTGAATTTTCCTAGGTTTTTAGATGCTGTAACTTTGGCAAACCGCTGACCCAATCGTAACTTCAGTTTCTCTCTGAAAGCTTAGAAAACTTGCACTTGTTTTCAAGGGCATTACAAAAATTAAATAAGGAAATCTTGTAAATTATTTTTAAAAATTTTTCAATTATTTTTACAGATTTTTCTTTTTCCTTTGAACTAAATTTCTAAAACAAAATAAAATATTCAATGTTTTTGAAATTAGGTAACAGCTGATTGTTTCAACGTAGGTCAGATTAGAAGCTAAGAGAAAAAGTCCATTTGGTTAAAGTATAAATTCACGGGCCGGCCTGGTGGTGCACTGGATAAGTGCGCCGCTTGGGAAGCGTGGCGGCGCTCCCGCCCGAGGGTTCGGATCCCACATACAGACTGGTTCCCGCTCACTGGCTGAGCGAGGCACGGGGGCAACACCGAGGGTAGCGATCCCGTTGCCGGTCCCCGGTCCCCGGTCCAGTACGGGGGCAACACTGAGGGTTGCGATCCGTTGCCGGACACGGAAAAAGACAAAAGACAAAAAAAAAAATTTCCACATGAGTTTTGGAGGGGACAACACATCCAAACTCCATCACAATCAATACAATCAAAGGAGCTATCAGGCTTTAGGTGTCTTCACATCTCCACCTCCTCCACCTTTCAAAGTAGAGTGTTGAATTCAATCTAAAGAGAGCATTGAATCTCATGACTCAGAGTTCTGAGATGAGACACAAAGTTGTCTTGCTTTTCTTCGAAGGAGCTCATAGCGTTAACCTGCTTAGGGCATATAGTATGAAACACGTGGAGGGAGGGCAGCCCAGGCTTTGGAGGCAGAAAGACCTGGGCTTTCACTCTCACTGTGACCCTTACAGACTATCCGCGTATAGTCAACTCACTCATGTTATGTTTGGAGTTTTGTAACCACGAAAAGCTCTTTGATTTGTCTTTTTAACTCTCTTATAAAATAAATATAACAAATCATTTAAAAAATCAAAAAGTTTATTTCTTTTCCCAAAGCTTTTAGATAGAAAAGACAAGAAAAGGAAAGGAAAGGAAAGGAAAAAAAAAAAAAAAAAAGAAAGGAAAGACATGTTTTGGTGATGTCACTGCCCCTCAAGTGAACAAAGAAAAGCACATATTTCATGAAAAAATACTATTGGCTACAAAAACAATTTTTTAGACTCAAACCCTGAGGTTATTCAGAAATAACTGTTACAAAGGTTAGAAAAAAAAAAAATCCCTTATCTTTTTCTCAGTGGATAGCAGGAGAAAAATGACATAGTAAATTGCTACTTTTAACTAACAGAATCACATTTTTTGCCTTACTTGTTTGAATCAATTTGCTTGAATTGGCAGGCAGTTTCTTTAGAAAAGAGAAGGTACTTAGGACAAAGAACCTAACAACCTACTTGAGAGCCCTTATTAAGAGCTGATTCTAAAATTGCACATATTTATTTTCCATACTGTTATTAAGGAGGGGAATTAAATTACTTTGTCTCAACATATCTGAAGCAAAGGGACAGCTATGTTTAATTTCATACTGACTTGGATAAGTAACTTAACTTCTTGCAGCTTTCATTTTTTAAAAGTCTGTAAAAAATAATGAAGTGATGTGGTGAGAGGTTATTCTAAAGTGCCTTGAATATATAGAAGGCTATTTATAAATGACACTTATATTGTTGTGGTGGTCATCATTGTTAGCACATGTAATTATTGATGCTAGCCTAATCTTCCAAGCTATCGGCAGGGCTCTACTTTAAGCAGCTCATTGCCCAATAATGTGCCAATAAATAAAGCAATGATATAAATGTAAAGAATTCTATTCATCCTAAACAAATGTGATAGATTTGGTGCTAGTGGAATCTATCAGACCAAACTGAGGCTGTCTTAACTGATTTGCTTTCTAAAATCATAAATAGATTAGATAAATTTCAAGTCTAGAACCTATGCAGCTTCTTAATTAGCTTCCTTAATGCTGTCTATAAACTCTATTAAACCTCATAATCAACAAAAATATATCATCCAGATGAAAGGCTGGAGCCAGACTGTTTTGACAGTACTGAAGAGATAAGGGAAGACAAAATGATTCTACAAACTGCCTGAGGCAAGAAAATAACATGATTTTGAATTGAAAAATAGAGCAAATGGTATTAACATTTTTTTTTATAGAGTTGATAAGAAGTCAGAGATAAACACTGAATTGAAAAGGCATTTCTGTTTGTTTTCCTTTTCAATCTCATTTCTCATTAATTTTTCATAGCGAATGATTTTAAATTAACTGAGTCACCTTTCCTTTAGTCAGTTGTGAATTACTCAGCACTTATGATGTATTAAGCACTATGCAAGCCATTGAATATATAGAAACACAAAATTGAATCCCTGGCCCCCAGAACCTCATAAATTTAGGAGGCAGATATTTATTGCACAATGTGATAGGTGCTGTGATAGAGGTAAGCAGAGAAGTACAGAAGAGGCAGCTCACCCAGCCTGATAGATTCAAGAAGAGTTCCTTGGAAGAGGTGATATCTGAACCAAGTCTTAAAAAATGAAAAGACAATGATCAAAGAATCAAATTTAGGGGAATTTCATATGGTATTTGGAGCTAGTGAGAACTGGTTAATTCAGGGAATTTTAGCAAATCAGTGCTGGGCCATAGGGGAATATGGGGTAATGTGAGGTGGTCCCCCGGGTTCCAAACTGAATCAGGCCCTTGGGTTCCAAAATCATAGAAATGAACAACATACCAGCAGTAAAGCAAGAAATGCTTTATTAAAAGAGGAGATAGACTTATGCATAAGGGGGGTAGGTACAGGAAAGCTAGCTCTCTGAAGGGAGCTGTTCAGGGTCCTTTATAGGGCAAAGAGTTAAGGAGTGCAAGCCAGCGTCATCATTCTGCACCTCTGCAGGTGGTCCGTCCTGTTCTTCCTGATTGTGTCATGGGTACATGCTCAGTTAGGTCTTTGGTCCTTGTGCCTGCTCAGTTGGTTCAAGAAGGTGATAGTCATTATTATCACCCCAGGATGGTTATTGCAGCAGTCACCTTGAAGCTTTGTGCACATGTTGGAACTCCTAAAGGGGTCTTGATCTGTAACTTAATTTCTACAATTATGCAAAAAGAAAGAATAGGTACATAATAAGATTTAAACGAAGCTTACAGTCATATTTTTAAAAGCCTTGGGGAAGGGGTTTTGCAACTCAGCGAATATCTGTTTTCCTCTTATCTCAGCTTATTTTATCAGGGCAGTCCATGGAGCAATCATGCACCCTGGGTAGGTCTTATGACTGAGGAGTGGAAAAGTAACAAAATGTTCTCTGCAGGGATAATGGAGTCAGTTTGATTCACAGGACTAGCCCTATTCTGTCTCAAGAGGTGAGCTGGGCAAGTAGTCTTGGGGCCGGATCATGAGGACCTTTATATGCCACACTAAGAGAGTAGGAAGTTAATGAAATATTGTGCTCATGATGCCTTAGTTAATAATTATGCAAATAATTTTTCATCTTATATTTATGTGGAAAACAGGAAGGTATTTGAGAACAGCACACACAAAGAGGGGAATGTTTACTAGGGATTATAACGAATATCATACTTAGCCCTTCAATTCCAGTGTTCGAGAGGCAATTCCCACTGCCATACCCCAGGAGACAGGGCTTGAGGCAGCCTAACTGCGTTACAGAGTCTTTTTATTCTTTGGTTCTTACTTTTAAGATGGAAAGAAATATCAAAAGTATTTCACTAGGAAAACTTTAATGCACTTGTACTGGGTTGCATGTTTCTCAAAAATTCATGTCCATAGGCAACCTCAGAATATGACCTTATTTGGAAATAGAGTCTTTGCAGATGTAATTAGTTAAGTTAATGTGTGCTCATACCACATTAGCATGGTTCCTTCCTTAAGAAGGCCATGTGAAGACAAAGAGAGAAGTTAGAGTTATGCTGCCACAAGCCGAGAAATGCCAAGGATTGCAGGGAACTACCAGAATCTAGGAGAGGAGCAAGGGATGATTTGTCCCTCAGAGTCTCCAGAAAGAAACAGCTCTGCTGACCCCTTGCTTTTGGACATCTGGCCTTCTGAACTGTGGAAGAATAAGTTTCTGTTATTTTAAGCCACTCAGATTGTGCTGGTTTGTTATGTCAGTACTAGGAAACTAATATAGCAACCAAGAAAAAGATATATCTAAATGATGTTAAAATATCTCGGGGTACCTTTTTCTAAATGGGGCTTTATCCACTTCAAACATTTCAAACCGGTCTTAATGGTCGATAAATAATTTTTTAAAAATTTCATGGCAATTTCACCACCTATAATGAAATCTATATAAATCTGAAGATCTTAGAAAAGCGTAGTTTCTCTGTATTATTACCTTTGTACTCAAGTATTTAATTCTTTATTCCCAGTGGTGGCAAATATGCAATCATTATTACAATTAATTTCCTCTTTTATTTAAGGTTATTTTTACTGACCCATCTTGAGGAACTTGATATTTCCTACAATGATATTACTTCTATTCCAAGTGAAATCCAGAAACTCAGGTATTTTGGAAGTAGTTAAGTACACAGAAAGTCATATGCCCCTTAAGGACATCTTTGTGATGGAGAAAATTGAGTCCTTTCATTTATTTAATAGCCATATAATGTAATATGCAAAGCACAAAGTTTGCCAAAAATCTAATTTGAATGATTAGTGTACAGTATTTTTAAAACATAACATTTTCAGTAATTATTTAAAGTACAGTACAGATGAGGACTTAATAGAATAACAAGCTACTTATGTTCGTTTGTGTGTACCTGTGGCTCGTATCAGTTTTACTCATCTTTTTTAAGGAAATTCATATACACAAAATGCTAATAATACTTGCACACAATGTAATTTTAATTCTAAACTCCGATTATTTCTCACATTAATAAAAAGAAGTCTGAAGTTCATCTGTGTCCTTCTAGGTCAGTACCATACTATTTTGATTATGACTCTGGAGTAATTTTTAACAACTAATAGGAAGGTTATTTTTCCATAATAATCTCCTAACTACTCTTTTGAGATCATAATCTTTAAGATCATTTAATATAATTCTCAGCCCCTACCCAATAACAAAGTTGGGATTTCAATTGCAATTGCCTTGAATTTACACATAAATGTTGAAAAATTTATATTTTTTCAGATCTTATTTTATGTTCTTCACCAGAATTTATGATTCATTTCATAGCTTTCTTAATGACTTTTTCTAAATATTTTATAATTATGTTGCTACTGTGAATGTAATGTTTCTGTTATTTACATTTCTAGCTGACTATTGCTAGTGCAGAACAAAGCTATGTACTTCTTTACATTAATTTAAAATCAAGCCATTTAACCAAATTCTACCAAATTAGTTTTGATTGAGTTTACTCTATTTTCATTGGTTTTCTAGACATGTAATCTTACCTTCAACAAAATGAGATAACTTTATTTCTGCTTTTCTAATATTTATACCAATTATTTAATTTCTCATGTGACCATCTCTATTTTAACAGCATATTAACAGGAGAATTCAGCCTGTTTGTATTTGTTATTATTGATACATTTAAAATTTTGCCTCCCAGTTTTCCTTGTATTTATTATTTAATTTATTTACTTTCCTCTTTTTCTGTTCCCCCCCCCTTTTTTTTTGATGATTTTTCAGGATGCTATTTGTTCTTTTTTCCTCCCTTGTTAATTTTGAAGCATCACTGTACTTTCCTAATCTGTTAATGGCTATCATTCCTTTTCCAAAACTCATAATCAAACACGTTTTTCTTTAATAATTCATAAAGGCCACTTGCCTCACCGTAAATCAGGTCTGTCTCCCCACTGCTGCCTTCCACTGGTAGTTGAGACCTTCAGAAAACTATTATTTTTCTGACTTTCCTTCCAAATGCATCTGCTCCTTCTCTAACTCTAGATTTTGCTGAGATGGTTTATAAACTTTCGTTACAGATTCTCATTAGTATTTTCCTTTACATTATGTCTCTTTTGTTAAGGAATATTTATTTAGCACTCGCATCTCACAAGCACTTTCAGTCATTCTCCATTTATATTTAAATGAGCGTATTTCAAGATTCATTGCTTAGTGCTCTTTTCTCTCCTCTTTCCTCTCATCCTGAACCCGGAGATATCCCTTTTGCTGTTTAGAGTTTCCTTAAGTGTTTTCCTGAGATGGAGTACACGGGTGATTTCTTTCTCAATCTTTGGGCCTTGCAGATAAATGACGTCTGGAATGGGTGGGCAGGCTTGCACTGCAGCCCTTTTAACAAGTGACCTCCACGTCTCCTCCTCCTCTCACCTCCTGTGTTGCAGATGAGGCCCCTGATGCCAGTTTGATTGTCTTTTTTAAATAAGTGGCTCTTATTTTTATCTGGAAAGACTAAGATTCTCTCATAATCTTTGATATTTAGGAATTTTATTATATTATGGTTAACAGTGTCTTTTCTTTTTCTTTTTTTAAAACCTGTCTTCTTGTAATTCAGTGAGCTCTTTTAATCAGCCAGCTCAAACTTTTATTTTTAATTAAGGAAATATGTTCTATTATTGCCTGTTCTTAGTCTGTTTCATTTTCTCTTCCCAAAATGCCTATTATTTTTATGTTAGGTCTTCTGGATCTGTCTTGCGTTGCACCTATGTTTTTCCTCATTATTATTCTTTCTATTTTTGCTCTGTTTTGAGTTATTTCTTCTACTTTGTCTCTGATTTTAATCTGGATCTCCATGAAGACCATATACTTCTTCCATTCATCCACTTAATTTTTTAGTTTTACAAATCGTGCATTTTGGTTCATGGAACTGTGTGTGTGTGTGTGTGTGTGTGTGTGTGTGTGTGTGTGTGTGCGCGCGCGCGCGCCACGCTGTGTTAGCATCTTATTGTTTCTTCTGCCCCTCACCCCAACTCCTTATCTGTCTCTCCACAGAGTGTGTTTGCCTCAGGACCACTGTGCTATGTGTTAGGTGTGTTTTTCTCTTCTGGCTGCTCTTTCTTTTATGCAGGTCTGGTGGTGGTCACAGAACACCATTCAGGGCACCAAGAATGTCAGTGTTGTACCAACAGGAAGTTTCTCTGCTCCCTAGAATGCTCGGCTGTCTAAATATGAAGCTCTTGCAACTTTAGAGATTGTTTAGCTTGCCTAGCTCCTCCAAACTCATCAAGGAGAAGGGGGCACCCAAATGGGTAGGTCCTCCAAGATATGCCAACTCAGGCAGGGGCAGCTTCACCATGGATATCTTGAGAACCTTCATTAGCATTTCCCCAGAGTGTGCCACACTCCTTATGATTGTTCACATAGGGCTTATCTTAGGCAGCTTGGGCTGCTGTAAAAGAATACCATAGGCTTGGGGGCTTATAAACAACAGAAACTTGTTTCTCACAGTTTTGAAGGCTGGAAATCCAAGATCAAGGTGCTGGCAGATTGGTTGTCTGGAGAGGGCTGCTTCCTCATAAAAAGCTGTCTTCTCACTCTAACCTCACATGGCAGAAGCGGTGAGGGGTCTCTTTCAAGCTTTTTTTTTTATAAGGGCACTAATCCCATTCATGAGCGCTCCACCCTCATGACCTAGAGACCTTCTAAAGACAACCTCCTAATAGCATCACCTTGGGGGTGAGCATTTCAACATTTGAAATTTGGGAAAACATAAACATTTACACCATAGCAGGCTGTCTGCTGCTGTCCCCCAGGCTTGTGTTTGATGCAGAAGAAAAGAGTGACCACGCCAGCTCTCTCCTTCAGGACTGAAGCAAAGCCAGGCATCCTGCTCACCTTTCTAGACCATGAGAGGAGAATTAATGAAACTGTGATTGAGGGATGAAGGCAGCTGAGATGGCTTCTTCCTAGCCTCATTGTTTAAATATCCCTCTGTCCATATTTTAATATTGTCAGCAGGAGTCATAAAGAATTTAGATTGTGTGGATATGAGATATGAGACTAGACTATAAATGAGAGTCTAGAGGCCCCAGGTACTCATGACCTAAAGTCTACATATCAATCTCGTCACCTCTGATGCATTTGACAAGTTGGACCAGCCTTTGATTTGATTTTTATATGTCCCTCATGAACACATATTTTTCTGTCCACTTCTAGTACTAATTTAGAAAGGAGATAAGTGACTGTACAGAACATCATTGAGACATACGAAAATAAGAAAATGAGGAAGTCAGTAATGTGGTTCTTTTTTAAGAAAAGAATAGGATTATTAGAAGCAATTGACACCATAAAAACCAAAGGGATCCAGGTGATGAAAAGTCAAAAAACAATACAGCACAAAATACATTTTGATAGCATAAATTTCACTGTTTTGGTTAGGCTTGAGTGAAAAAATATGTGTTGATGTTAAATTTCTCTATGAAAACATATTCTTTCTATGTATCATTTTATTATGTTTTATGTGATGTAACATGATTAGTCTTTCTGCATTTGTGGATATTATTTTTTTTCCATAGTGAAGACATGTTGCAAAGCCCAAAATAAATGCTTTAACTGTGTATTCACACAAATGCACTTATTTGCATAATAATACGTTGTTTTAATTGCTCTGCCTGTGTAAGTAAATTCTCCTGATTCTAAGGAAATACTAAATACACACTTGTATTTTATTGCTACTGTTTGATACCAGTTTTCCAAAACACTGAGGCAGAATTTCACTTCAATATTATAAATTGCATGAATACCTTTTAAAATACGGTTGTCTTCATATACAGATCACTTGAAAAACTGAACATCGATGGAAATGAACTGACTTCTTTACCATCTGCAATTCTGAAGCTTAACCTGACAAAAATCTCCTGTGAGAATAATTTCATTCATCCTAGTTTTTGGAAAGAGAATTCTTTGAATAGTCCACAGCGACTTACTCAAATTACGTCTTGGTTCATTGTCAGAAATAATCTGCATAAATTTTATGATGCAATCCCTGCAAAAGTTCAAAAGTTACTAAAATGGTGAGCAAATGCTGAAGTCTTTTTAACCAAAGCACACTTTAAGCATTTAAAATGTTCTCCATGACAGTTTTACAAAACACACGCACACACACTACACACAAAACCATACACACGATTATTCAATTGCCCCTTCTAGCTCTTCAGGTGTAATAATTTAGTCTGAATTCAGCCCATTTTCTAATATTCTCAAGTTATTACTTAAATCCAATGTGAAATTCGAGTTGCTGAGGAATAGCTGGCAATCTCTATATAGCTATCACATAAATTCTTTCTATGAATTATTAAATTCATAGGAGTGGATTTTTTAAAAAAAAATTTGTTTAGTCTTGGGCTCACTATGCAGAGAAATGTTATACTCCACTCTGACTTCATAAAGACCATGAGTAGAGCAGACATACATGGAGTGGCTTTTCTCCCTGAGGTATCCAATAATGACAGTGTTGTGCTAGAATAATTGTCTAATCTCAGGACTAGGGTTCTTAAACTCCACACACTCAAAATCCATTCAGGCTGTCTCTTATTTCTTTCAGATGGTATAAAACCATTTTTACTGAAGTACTAGTTATCAGTGCTTAGGTGATTGGTTTAACAAATATTTGTTGTATGCCTAAGTAAATGGCTTCTCAGGAACATATAAACTACTAATACTGACTCAGTAAAAGGTAGAAAACCTAGAGTAGTAACTATTGGAGAAATTAAAAATGGTGATTAAAGATCTACCAATAAAAAAGAAATTGGGCCCAGAAATTTTTAATTTTAGTATTTTGAGATGTCAATGCTTATGAAATTTGATCACATATGAGAAAGTAAGAAAAATCTTCAAGGGAAAAAAATTTTTTAAAGAATTAAAACCTGATGCATGAGTGGTAAACAGATATGGCACCATAGGTTTTGGATTTATCACAAGATAGGGACGATCAACCTGAGATTTCTGAATTAAATGTGGGCCCAAAAATGGGCTAAGTGGTTCCAGAACAGTGAATTACCTTCCTCCCAGCAGGACAGATACTTTTGACAGAAACATTCTCAACTTAGACTGTAAAGATTCCAGAAAATTAAGTTCAAATGAATATTACCTCATGATTTAAAGAAACTTCCAAAAATGTGAGGAAACAAGACACCAAGAATAAAAGTCAGCAAAAACAGTCAACAGATACTAATCTCCAAAGATCTAAGAAATTAGAATTGTTTACAGATTATGAAATACCTTCTTTCAATGTTTAAAGAAATAAAATATAATTTAAGAAATTCAGAAATAAGTTATTATCAAATATAGCCAGGAAAATACAAAAAAGAAATTTTAAATAAAACAAAATTCTAGAAACTAAAAATGTCATAGTTGAAATTAATTTTATGCATGGGTTAAACAGCAGATTATATGCACGTGAAGAGAGATTTGAAGAAATTGCAGTGAATATGCAGACAGGAGGTAAAGAGATATGTACAAAGAAGGAGAAAATTTGACATACACTTAGAAACACAGAAAGTAAGAACAGAGAATAGCGAGAGTCATTGTTCAATCAGGTAATGGCTACAGATTCTCAGAAGTAATGAAAGATGTGAATCGACAGACACTGAAATCTCTACACAAACTAAGTAAAACACCTTGCAGTGAAACTGAACACCAAAGACAAAGATAAGTGCTTAAAGTCAGCCAGGAGAAAAAAAATCACTTAAAAAGAACAACAAATAAACTTCCAGGAACAGTAAAACAAAGGCTAAAAAAATATTACTTTGCCCAGAAAAACTCACTTTCCAGAATAAGAGAGAGAATGTCTCCCAATAGATTTTCCACTAAAGGAACTTGCAAAGAATGAGCATCAGAAAGAAGGAAAATGACTCCAGAAGCAAGTTCTGAGGTGTAAGAAGAAATGCTGAGAAAAGAAATGGGAAAATATATTGGTAAACAAACATGATCTCTATGAAGTAACAATAATAGCAATATCTATGATATGGGGTTAAAAAGATAAAACCAGAAATCAAGCAGTTAGAAAAGAAACATTTTATGATAGCAAGATAAAACAGTGTGTCTAGAAATATATCAAGTGAAATATGTGCAAGATATTTGTGGAGAAAAAATTAAAACTTTATAAAAAAGTAAAGAAGACTGAATTGAATGGGAGAGATATACATATTCAGGGATAATAAAGTTCAGTACTAACAATATATCAGTTCTCTTCAAATAAGAGCTATAAATCGAATGTGATTCTGTTACTCACCGCTCAATAGCCAATAACTGAGAGAAGTGTTGGTGTAAGGAAAGGCAGCCTTTAATCAGGAAGCTGGCAGCCTGGGAGATGGTGGACTTATGTCTCAAAGACCATCTCCACTTTTCCCAGACTTGCCAAAGGGGTTTATAGGGACAGGTGGCAGGGGGCTGATTCATGGTGACCTAAGCAGGGATGTGCAGGCATAATCATAAAATTGCAAATAAACATCAAAGAACTTCTCGGGTGGGAGCTGATTCATGGTGACCATCCTCCATGAAGTCAAGTCACAGATTTAGTTTTTGTTAACCTCAAAAAGATCTAGTTAGTAAGCTAGTAAAGACTGGCCACCTCAGTTAATAATTTCTTCTATAATTATTCTGTGTACAATGTGAGCAAAAGTCATTATGTTCTAACAGTCATGTGGACAAGAATCATTGTATTCTAATGTCCAGCTGCAAGCTGTGTGGTTCGAGTTACAAGAGTAAGAAACAACCAAACAGGGCCGGCCCGGTGGCGCACTGGAGAGTGCACTGCTTGGGAGTGTGGCGGCGCTCCCGCTGAGGGTTCGGATCCCATATGGATACCGGTTCCTGCTCACTGGCTGAGTGCGGTGCGGGCGCAACACCAAGGGTTGCGATCCCGTTGCCGGTCCCCGGTACGGGCGTGACACCGAGGGTTGCGATCCCGTTACCAGTCAGTAAAAAAGACAAAAAGGAAAAAAAAAAAAAGAAACAACCAAACAAACAAAATACTTTTTAATTTAGAAGTTTAACAGAATGGCATCACTTCTTTTCAGGCTGTTATGGTTCTGTTCAAAATTGCTTTCCGCGAAGCTTTCACCAATTTACAGAACCACCTGTACATGACAGTCCTGTTTACAGGCATTCAAAATCAACACAATATCAATCTTTTTAATTTTGATAAACAGGTAGGTAGAAAACCTATTGTTGCTATTTTACACTGCAATTCCTTCGTTACTAGTGAGGTTTAACATTCTTCATGTTCATCAACTGTCTGCATATTGCCATCCATCTGCTGTTTCTAGGGTCTGTGAGTTCGCAGGGTTTCTGGTTTGACTCATTTACAGAGCAAGTCTCATGTCTCTTTCCAAGGACGGAGAGAGGAATTTTGGAGAATGTCCAAGGTTAGGAGAGAAATAGGGAGTCTATTTGCTCCATATACTGACTTGCAGTGATGTCTTCTTCCTTGTACCTAGTCTCAGCCCCACACTCATTCCTGACTACCAAAGTATCTACGCCCCCAACTACTGAGCTTTTCTTGAGTTCCAAGGCACAAATTGGATTGCTTCCTGTTGGATTCCCCTTCTGCAGTCACTTAATTTTTAGCTTTCTTGGCTCTACTAAATCAGTTAATACTCTTTCATTGCCTTTCCACCTTCCAAAAAATGTGTTGGAATATCTTATCTAGTGTTATCTCACATTCTCTTTGCCTATGTAGGTTTATATCGTTTTTATTTCTTTATTATCTTTTTAGTGGGTTTCAGGAGGAAAACTAAATAAGTACATGTTATCAATTCATTGTATTTAACTAGAAGTCCTCCAAGAAGAGAGTATTTGAGTCTCCAACATTACACTATGGTTTATATAACAAAAATTTTACATTGTCAATGATATTGCTCATGCAGAAGTTGAGCCTCGTTTTATATGGTGTCATATCCTAATCTCCTCTTGCACTCTAGCTACAGTCACTGAAGCCTTTCACTGACAAGCTTACACCCAAACATTTCCTTTGCTAATTGTGATGAAAGCAGGGAGAATGTTTGCAGCCTCAGACCAATCCTTACTGACTCCTCTTCCAGCTGGTGTGTTTATAGGGAGCCCTGATCTTTAGCCCTCATCCAGTTTCTCACTGGGCTTGCAAGCCTCCCTGAACCCCAGTTTACACAGCTAGAGTGTGAACATACGGTGGTCCTGCCAGCTGTGTTCACAGCATAGGCCCTTCTCACACACTGATGAGTTAAATCAAGCCTGACCTTGCCGGTCTTTGTGGATCTTACTCCAGGCAGCCCGCTTTCCATTTTCAAGGGCAGCATTGTTTTCTCCTGATCCTGGATTCCCTCTAGCACACTATTTATTCTGACGTGTACCAGAATATAATACCCCAAAATATGCCTTTTTGGTACCCGGATTATTTTGAGCTAAAGGCAATTGAGAACCAGCACATGCAGGAAAAGCTCTTTACCTTCACCCAACTGCCTAAACATAGGCAGTTTTTGTAAAGAAAATTTACATTTATAAAGGAATTTCTATTTGTAAATAAAAAAGAAAAGAGGAAAAGAGCTACTCTTATAATCTGAGAGACTCTAATCTACCGTACATTTCCTCCCCTCACTGTTCCATAACTAGCCTTTCCCACCCAGAAGCCCCAAACCCTTTTTTCTTTGTTTAGCCTAAGATGATATGGAAACCTCAATCATCTGGCCTCCTGGAGTCTCATTTCTTCTCAAAAGGACCATGCATATATATGTTATTAAGCTGTTTTTTTCTCCTGTTAATCTGTCTCTTGTCAGTTTAATTCCCAGAGCCCCTGCCAATGAACCTAAGGTGGGTAGAGGAAAGAGATTTTTTTCCTTCCCTCTAATTTCCAGCCAGAAGAGGCTTGTTTCAGTAAGCTTACTTGAGTTATGGCATGTACTATAACTAGACAGTTATTTCCTTTACAGAACATTCATTTATTAATTTAGCATACATTGTTTTTTGTTAAATATTTGCAAGCATTCTAATATACATAGAATGAATATAGTTAAAACTGAATGCTTCATATCTTCATCAAATCTTATTTTGTTATATTTGCTTCAGATTTTTTTAAGTAAAACGTTTAACAAATAACAATATTTATTGTTAAATAAAACATTTAAAAATATGGCTAAAGCTGCCTTTGGCCCTTCTCTAATCACATTCACTTCCTCCCAAAAGAAGACCATTCTCTTTACGTGGACAGTTGTGATTCCCCATGTTTTAAACTTTTACTACATCTGCATATTTCCATAAGCAATATTGTAGTTATACGAAAAAGTATTTGGTTCTTATTTCCAGTTACTGGCATGGAACTCCTAAAACCCTTGGAATCTTCTGATTGAATGAGCCCCTTTCAACTGTAAATGAGTTTACAGTAATTTGATGACTCTTATGATGCCCCTGGGTTGCTTCAGGATGGAGGCTGGCAGCTGAAAGTCTCAGCCTTCATTAGGAGCTTGGAACTTTCAGCCTCATCTTTCTCCACTTCTAAGGAGAAGAGAGGGTGTGGAGATTGAGTTCAATTATAAAGGCCTATGATTTAATAAATCATGACTGTATAATAAAAGAACCCTAAATGACAGGGTTCAGAGAGCTTCCAAGTTGTTGAACACACCCGTGTCCTGAGACAGTGTCACACCCCAACTCCACCCAGGGACAGAGGCTCCTGTGCTCAGGACCCTTGCAGACCTCACTTCATCTGGCTGTTCATCTGGCAGAGGAGGAGTCATGGGAATCCCCAATTTGTCAAGCCAGACAGAAGTGTGGGTGACCTGAAGACCCAGTACTTGCAAGTGGTGTCTAAAGTTAGGGCAGTTTTGTGGCACTAAGCCCTTAACTTGTGGAGCCTGATGCTAATTCCTAGTAAGTAGTATCAGAATTGGATTAAATTTTAGGATACCCCGGTAGAGTCCACAGGGAATTGGAAAACTGGTTGTGTTAGAAAAAACTCGGAAAAATACGTAGTTTTGTTTTTCGTGTTTTAAACTTTACACAAATACACAAGTATGTCCTACAACATGTTTTTTATGCTCAACATTGTTTTTTTAGACTTATCCATATTGATTTATATAGCCCTAGTTCCTTTAACTCCTGAACAGTTTTCCTTGAAATGAATATTTTATAATCTATTTATCCTTTTTCTTTCTGGTGGACATTTGGGTTGTTTCCTATTTCACTATTACCAAGAAATCTACAATGTACATTTTTAAGCATGTCTCCTTATGCAAATATGCAAGTTTCTCTAGGTCATAGATTATGTGCATCTTAAAATTAAATAGAAATTGCTAAATTATTATCCAAAATAATTACACCAGTTTATGCTCCACCGAGAAAGTATGACAGTCCTTGATGGTTCTCATCTTCACCAAACACTGCTTTGTCAGCCCTTTACATTTTGCTCATCTGATTTTTGTGAAATGGTATTTGTTTGCTATTTTATTTTGTATTCCCTGATTACTAATGAGATTGAGAAGCTTTACCTTTGTTCTCTTGGCATTCATTTTCTTCTGTGAATAGTCTATTCATGTACTAATGTTAATTTACTAATGGCTTGATTTTTTTTTTTAATTGGTTGATTTAAAAATATATTATGAGGCTGGCTGGCTAGCTCAGTTGATTAGAAGGTCCAGGGTTCTATCCCTGTACTGTCCAGCTTCCAAAAATGAATAAATTAAAAAATTTAAAAAACATATATATATAGTGGACACTAATCCTATGCTAGGTTATGATCATCCCTTTAGTTTTAAAATGATTTTGCTTTGATAAGAATAATACATATTTATTATAAAAAAACTTGGAAAATAGGAGGCTGGCTGTTTAGCTCACTTGGGAGAGTGTGGTGCTAGTCACATCAAGGTCATGGGTTTAGATCCCCATACAGGCCAACCACAAAAAAAAAAAAAAAAAAATGGAAAATAAAAAAAAAAATTATAAAGAAACTTAAAATTTTCTATGATTGCATTTTCCAAGGATAATAACTGTTTTTAGTTTGGGATCTACCCTTACAGTCTTTTCTTGCTATGCATATATGCTTACTTGTTTGAGAAAACTAGGATTGTATTATCCATATATCTGCTTTATTGTTTGGCTCTTTTAGCATTTAATTTTTCACTTGATGGTAAGCGTCTCATCTGGATAGTAAGCTCAGTGAAGATAAAGGCTATATTTTATATTACTTTGAGTCTTGCATAGCATCAAGCACAGTGTCTTTAAGTTTATTAAATATTGACTTGGTATTTCCTTCATTTCAGCACATCCAAGTGTGAATGGTGTCATGGTCCCAAGTTTGGGAAAGGTTTTCGTGTCATCCGATCTTGTGATATTTTCGGAGCATCACAGCTTCCTGTTATGTTTCATGTTTGTTCCTCTTCTTGCTATAGAAATGTAAAGAAAAGCACTTATATTCCTGATGTTATTCCTGATAAAAGAATACCTCTAAATTTGGAGTTGAGAGAAGGATGATAGTACAACGATTTATCGTTCCCACTGTAAAAGCCAATAAAGTTTATATGTGTAGTAATTTATCTATTTGAGAGTATAGGTTCTGTATGGAAGATATGTGTCTTCTCATACGAATTCTCTTTGTAATCCTAGTTCCTTATGAAAGTTTGTTAAGAAATTATTGCAGAATAATTGCTCAAGAAGGATTAGTGAAGAACTTGGGATTTTAATGAAGATCTAGAAAACTTCTTTCAGAGCCTGTTAACTATAAAAAGAAAAACGTTAGAATCCTCTGAAAAAAGGGTTATGTCTTACAACTGGTCTTTTCATGTATCCACACTAAGTGGCAAGATAGCATTTCAGTCACCAGTGGGGTTTGCACCACGTACAGCTTCAAAGTCATGCATCTAGGTACTCAATGTTTGTGCATTTCTGTGGAAATCTGTCCAGTGCCAACCATCTCAATTGTGGGTTGCTCTGAGGAATAAAAAATTAATTCCAGCGCCATTTTTCATTGTTTGAATTTGTTTCCCAGGCTGTTAAAAAACTTGTATAATCTCTAACAGTTACCATGATCTTCATCTCATAATGCTGAGGTACTGGGCATTAGCCTGATTTCATAGGCTAATGCCAGCATTTACCAAGGCCTTCAGTTATAGCCCAACAAGAAAATAGAGTAGTACAACAAAATTATATTGCAAAGCTACATGCACATACAGTAGAACTTGAGGATTTAAGAATTAATGTTTGGTAAGAAGAAGGTAAAAAAGCATTTTGATATAAAATTTTAGAATGGCATAGAATTGTTTCATGTATGGCATATCTTTTACAAGTATGTGCAATTAACTTAAATCTAAAATATCATTGCTAGTGAAACTTAATGAAATGATTTAAATATATACAGCTGTCTTGTCATCAGAGAATGTCAGAAAATACACATTATGACAGGTTTGTATCATTTAATGATATTATTTAAATTAAAGATAAAATATATCAGGCAAAATATTATTATCTGACTATAATTTCAGTAAATTGGAATGCTTACATTCTTTTTTTTTGAGACTTAATTTGATTTTAAGCAGAAATTGGCAAACTTTGCTTGAGAAGTATATACTGTATTCTCCAGCAAAAGCATAAAATTATTTGTAATAGGAGAAGTAACTATCACATCACACATGTAATTCAGAAGGGGATACTTGTAGTATGATAACAAACTAATTTATTAAAATGTAATATTAGAAAACAAGATAACAAAATAAGATTAAGTTCTGGTGGCATTTGGCTTATTATACTCACTCTTGTCCCTGAAGTATTTCTTGGGGGAAAAATATGTTTATTTATTCATTCAAAAAAATGTTTAGATTTTGGTTTGAGTAATTGGGTGATGTTACATTGGAATAGGGAATAAACAAGAAAAAATAGGTTTCAAGAAAAATGAAAATATCTGAGAGACATTTCAGAGAAACAGATATACCTAGACATTTGGACAAATACGAAACATGCTTAGAGCCCAATCTCATTAGTGGTTAATATAAACCTTGAATCTGAATGATCTCCTATAGATCTTCAAAAAAAGTAACTTATTGTATGTTTTTTAATATAAATTTAAGACATATTATTATAGAAATATTGGAAAATACAACTAAGCCTAAAAAGAAAACAAAATTCCCCTTGTAATGCCACCACCCAATGACAGCCAGAGATAATCATTTTGACGTGTATGTGTACATACCCACGTTTATACAATGTATTACTCTTTTTAAAAATGGGATTTTCCGCCTCACACCACACCAAAAATTAACTTCCAGTTTTAGACCTGAAGGTCTAAATTAAAATATAAATATAAGGAAATAAATAGGGTCTTTAAAAAATTAGAATGAGAGGGGCCGGCCTGGTGGCGCACTGCTACAGTGCGCCGCTTGGGAGCGCGGCGGCGCTCTCGCTGAGAGTTCGGATCCCACATACAGACCGGTTCCCGCTCACTAGCTGAGCGAGGTGCGGGCGCGACCCCAAGGGTTGCGATCCCGTTGCTGGTCCCGGTCCGGTACAGGCGCGACACTGAGGGTTGCGATCCGTTGCTGGACACGGAAAAAAAAAAAAAAAAAGGACAAAAAAAAAAAATTAGAATGAGAAGAATGTAAGCAGGAAATGAAACCCCAAGGAAAAGATGAACAGAGTTTCTATGTTAAAAATTTTTTAAATATCTGTACAGCCAAAACCACCATAAATGAAGTCAAACAATACATTGGGTGAAATATCTACTCTCTCTCTCTCTCTCTCTCTCTCTCTCTCTCTCTCTCTATATATATATATATATATATATATATATATATATATTGATTATACATATTCATGGGGCACAGAACTGACCACCAACACCTGTGCCAAGATTTGGTGATCAGATCAATACTATCTGATTGATCTGCCCACCACCTCAAATTGCTGCCCACCACCTCAAATTGCAATTATTCCCCTTGTCCCCCACCCAATCTCTCCCCAACTTTCCCTCTCCCTTTCTCCCACCCCCACCCCCACCCCCAGCAACCCTAGGTCTGTTCTCTGCCTCTGCAAGTTCAACACACCACTACGGTCTTTCTTTCTTTCCTTCTTTCTCTCTTAGCTCCCACAATATCTGCAATATATATGACTAACAAAGAGCTAGGCTATTAACCAAGAAATCTTGATTGTAAACGACAGAAACCAGTTAAAGCAACAAAAGGAAATATATTGGTTTGTGCATATGTTTTCAGGCACAGCTGATTCAGGAGCTCAAACTGTGTCTTTAAGGTATTATCTATTTCTGTAATTTAGCTCACTTACTCCATCAATCTATCTATCAATCAATCAATCATCTATCATCTATCTCTTAGCAACACTTTTCTTTAAGTTTGCTTCATATCCAGGTAGCAAGAATGGACACTGATAATTCCGGGTTTATAGGCTGGAATCTCAGGAACCTCAGAGAAAAGTGCAGCATCCATCCCAATCCTTACCATAAAACATATTAGGGATGATTTTCATTGGCTCAGCTTGGGCCACGTGTCCATATAGCCTCATGGATAGAATAATTGGCCAGGCCCAAGTCACATGCCCATTTCTTGGTAGCTAAAATCTAGAACACTCAGAGGCCTCTAAACTTCCTAATATACAATAAGCTTTTGCAAGTAACAATAACACCAAAAAGATGAACTAAATATTTAAATAGTTCTAACGATCAAAATTAAATGTATGTATTTTTACAATAATTCTCAGAATTTTCTGCTCCAAAATACTTAAACTCATTTGCAAAAATATATTCAGGGATATTTACTGTAAGGATATTTACAATAGTGAAAACTTGGAAACATTCTAAGGTTTTGTCAATAGAGAATTCGTTAAATAGGGTAAATTCATACAAAGCAATGTCATCCCAGCCATTTAAAAAATTAGATAGCTCTGTCTTTCCTGACATGGAAAGATATCTACCAAATATTTTTTGAAAAATATTTCCTAGGTCATATAATTATATAATTCAAAATTCAAAAGATACAAAAGAGTATAGCATAAAAAGTCCTTTTTAAAAAAAAAACTTTTTACTCTCAAACAATTCAAACATACACAAAATTAGAATGTTATAATAAACCCCAAGTACACAGCCAAAAATTCCGTTTTTAACCCCAATGCCATCTCAGAGGCAAACATGGTATCAATTCTTTTGTGTTCTTCAAGGAGAATTTATTCGTATGTAAGCTAATACATAAATATGTTTCCTCCCTATTTATATAATACTAGCATAATATACTTTGTTCTGCATCTTTCCATTCAACATTATGACCTAGAGGTAGTCCCACATCACTACATCATTAACCTATATTCTTTTTTATGATTGCATGTTATTCCATTGATCAACATATGAGTATACAGTCTGTTTCATCAGTTCACTGCTAGTGAACTATTAACATTTTGTAACCTCTTGCTATAAAAAAAATATTGTAGTGAATAACTTTGTCCTTTGCACATATTTAGATATATCTGTGGTATAAATCTCTAGAAGTAAAATTTCTGGGTTGAAAGGTATGTGCATTTATATTTAACTGATAATCAGGGGAAATATATAATCTATTTATTTTATTCACTTTTTGAGTAGGTAATACTAACATACTGTACCCAGTTCAAGAAAGATTTATAATGAAAAGTAAATCGAACTCATTAATTTCCTTCAGATGCCCACTTCTCAGAGGCAAATATTGTTAACTAGCTTTTTGCATTTGCCCAAGCACTAAGTACCTATTAGGATACAGCTGTGTATAGAAGAATCTCCCTTATTACAGTACTTTTTTTTTTTCAGTATATAATTTAGGAGCAACATTATCATCATTTGTAAGCTTATTGGAAATGCAAATTCTTAAACCCACCCCAAACCTACTAAATCACAATCTCTGGGGATGTTATCCAGGAATCTTCTTAATTACTAGCTCTTCAGGTGATGCTAGTGCTCACTGAAACTAAGAATCACTGGTCTACAGAGGTCAGAATGCTCACACCAAGATGTTGGTTAAATAAGAGATGCAGGTTTCGGTGTAACGTACTTTATTTTATTGTCTGCCATACACTGTCATCACTGAGGATCTCATCTATAAAAATTATTCCAGGAATGCAGGATTGGTTTAACATTCAAAAATCAACCATCCTAAGCCACTGTGAACCCATTGTAAATCCTACATCCACTATAATGTCCAGAGCTCCAGGAGCACCAGAGGTGGCAGAATAGAGATGGGTGAATGTTTCTATTTCTAGGTTTTCATGATCTTTATCCACAACACCTCAATAAGTAGGCTCTTTTTTTCCTTCCTTTCCTTGACTCACCTTGCCTTTCATTCCTCCTCCTTCCATCCTTCCTCCTCTCTCCTTTTTCATTGTTTTCTTTCACCCTTTATTTTTTTCCCATCTTTCTCTCACTCCTGGTGCAGAGTGCTTAATTCAATTAAAACATGTAAGGGGATTAGGGATAATTGAAATCATCTGTCTATAAAATACTCAAGACAATCCCAAAGTTGTCATGTGATGGTGAGTTTGTGTGTTTGTACATTGATCTGCACATACACAGAAGAAGGTTGGAAGAAAACATCT